TAGTAGTAGTATATATATATATATATATATATATATATATATATATATATATCAAAAAAAAAACGTGCCGTTGTAGTGAGACGTAAAAAGTCATTATTGGATTCGTCGACTAGGACACAATTATTATTAGAAAGCGATGGCAGAAGCACGGACAAGTCGCTGATATTATCCGAGCTAACATCACTGTCGTTGCCGTTATTGCAGATATTCTGTTCCTCTTTCAAAAAGAACGGCAGAGAAGCGTCAATACGGTCAGTTGTCATCATCGTAAACAATGTTTTACAATTGTCACGTCGCATGAAATAAATCAAGACGTTTGTTGTACATTTGTCGATAATAACATAACTCCCAATCGATATTATCTACATTACATACGTGTTAATTCTTGTAATAAAATTAACCGAATAACATTAATTAAACAAATTCGTATGAAGTAGGAACGAACTGCCGCTACGAAAAGATTAGCGTCTCTTTCATTTTATGCCAGTGTTGCCAATATTTCAGTCATAGATCTTGTATATCTGAATAGTCGCGCCTTAGACGCGACTAAAATCAAGGGATCGAGTTGATGAGAGCGAGAGAGTATCTGTAGTACTGTAGTATAACCAATAGTGATGCTCACAGCATTTTCGACTACAGTAGTAGTTTTGAATTCGATCCAAAGTGAGTTAATGATGTTACGTGCCGTCCAATTAAAACCCAAAGTAGAGCATGTGACGTCATTAACCCACTGCTGCACTCGAAAACGCTATCAGCAATAAAATGCGGATTCGCGCAGATTCACGTTCATGCAGATCATATATTACAAGCGTCCCCAATGAAATTCAACACAGCCGAAACGCGCATAGGTTGCATTCCGATATTCACTGAAAATCTATAATATATATGTAACATGAACTATATATTTTCAATACCAGCGGTGAAACATCGGAACGCAGCCATAGTAGCAGAACACAAACGAGTCATAAACAGTTAAATTCAACATAAACAGTTATAAATACAACATAAATATTTTATTATTCCTATATTCGTCTCTTTGTTTTTTTCACTTGCATAAACATGGCGAAAAGATCATGTGAGAAACAAAGATCAAAGATATCGATACTGAATGTTCTTATGGATCATACTGGGGTGCGTTCAGAAATAATACCCGAGTGCATCAGGTATCATTTTATCCTTATTTATCCTTATTTTATCCTTATTTAATATTCGACGAAAAACACGAATAAAATGATACATCAAATGTTTCTAAACTCAGACTTGTGCTTTTCACAGTTGCAAAACTTCTCTCTCTCTCTCTCTCTCTCTCTCTCTCTCTCTCTCTCTCCCTCTCTCTCTTAAACATAGCCAATGATGATTGCGGACTGCACATTTTAAAACTAAAAACTATCACATAAAATTATCTAAACACACAAGGGCATGATGCGAGCGCTTTAATCACGCATAAAATATAACCAATTAAATATATTTCGCTACTAACATACAAAGAATCCAATTCGCGCTGCAAAATGTACATACGTACGTACGTATACGGCTGCGTTCGATGTTCATTGCCAGTGCTGAAAATCAATAATATATGTGACATGAACTATACATTTTTGGTGCTGGCGGTGAATGTTGGAGCGCAGCCTGTACGTATGTATGTACACGCGACAGTAAAAAAGTAAAAGTTTTTTGAAATTGAAATATCTCTTTTTTCGGTGAGTTTTGAAACACATCGATACATTATAAAAATTTAAATCACTTGCACAACAGACTTGCGCAATGAGGTAAACCAAGTGATGTGATGTGATGTAATGATTTCGCTTTTCAAATTTAAAAAAAATGATAAAGATACATGCTCCATACCCGCTGCGTGTATACGATAGATGAAAGAAACGCATATTACGATTAATATATGTATTTCTATACCACTATACCACTATATATTATATACTATACGAAAAATTTTCTATATAATATGATAAATGAGAAATGCATGCGTGAAGACGGACGGAGAAATGAGCTCGTAAGTCAGCCTTGGTAAAAAGGCATTCTCCGTGAAAAGAGCATATTAGACACAGACGTAAGGCGATGCTTTATTGGTATAGTTAATATTTAACAGAGATAACTCTGACGCGGCAACTGTGATAAAATATGTCGCTCGTAAACAGCGCACAGTATACTATAACGAGTTGTGCATTACGAGATAATACGTGCGTATTAAATTAGTGGCTCTTTAACATAAAGATTGAAACGGTACGATTTCGATAAGTTTTATTTTCCATATCCCGTATCATTGCATCGTTATACAAGGGAATGAATCTTGCGATAAGTTTCGAGATCTTAATCATTGCGTTTGCATCACCGTGAGAAAGATACGAAATTCTTTCTCGTATAACCGTAGGTCAGAATTCAATTTCATTCAAACTTTTTATATTATACATCGCTACTAACAGTCACACTTATCAATTCTTATCGAATATCGCATCTTATTTAATTGCTAATAAGGAGCGTAATCGAAGCGTAATCAGTATCGAGAGCGAAGATTCAAGTTCACAAAGTTACACGTATTATATATCCATTTTATATATCCGATTGACGATTAAGTGAACTGGTAATGAAAAAAACGATGAATGATTTCCAATAATGTTCAATTTGTTGCAAGCTCGCATTTTTCATAAATCTCTTTTCCACGCGTGAGCACGCAGGCATATGCAATTATTCTGTGTAGAAAAGTTGTTACAAGTCTATTGAGCAGTGATGCCTGAAACAAGTTTAATTCTTTAGGATGTGTATCTCGACGTGTAGCGTTATATAAGATAACAATAAAATATAAAATCTTTCGTAAGGTATTCATTTTTCAATTATCTCCTCACTTTGATATATAATATACTTTTATGCACAAACATTTATTAGAAAACATTGATTAATGATCAGTCTCCTTTTTTGTGTTCACGTTGCTCATATGATGTGCATCCGTATCTAATTTACGAATATGCTTTTCCTTTTTAAACACGTCCATATATCATTTCACATAATTTTGATACATAACTTAAAGAAAAGTAACGTATCTTTTGCTGACATAATTGACAAAATTAGAGGAAATAAGGAAGAAAAGTGAAAGCAAAAATGAATAAGCTTATGATATAAGCCGTTCGAAAAGATGCGGATATTCGTATTATCGAAGGAAAAAGAAGAAGATAGATTCGCGGCGCGCGGAAAAGAAAGGGAACATACCTATTTACGATATCACGATAACTTGGCGCATATACATACATGGCAGGCACGTATGTACATACATACGCCGATGCCGCTGATGCATGACACGGCATGTATATACGCGCAACGCGCGGAGCCAAGGAGACCTGATTGGTTGATTGAGTGTTAAAGCGCGCACGAATTGCTGACCAATCGACCAAGTCAATTTTCCGTTTGAAATTTGCAGTTTCTCTTTCCTCTCGCAATCCACGTTGTCCACTGTGCCGCGAATGAGGCGTGTTCTTTTTTCAATCAGTTTTCAACCATTCTTCATGTACGGATCAATGTCGCGTGATTACCGGAATGCTGTGTGAATTTTTTCTCCTGTGAATCGTTGAATGGCAAAAAATCGACTGATAGAGTGTAGAGTTTTCGTAAGAAGTCCAGGAAATGCAAAGAGCATGTCGAAAGGTAAGATGGAAAAAAAGATCTTTCCTCCCTCATCCCTTCCCGCTTTAAGAACAATGGTAGTTTCATTTCGTAAATTTTATTGAAAATATGTTTTTCATAATTAAGTATATCACGTGTTAGTGGTATATTAATGATACAATACAGATAAGTATGCTCAGCTGCTTATCTCCCTGTGATATTTGGTCTATCAAATGTATAAGAGATCATCGAGATGAAATATTTTATTTTTTTATTCGGTTATGAAACTTAACAACTTTAAACAAAGTTTGAATAAAATTCACAACGTTTGAAAATTACTTTCTATTATTAATTTTATGTATCATAGTAGAGAAATCGTATGTCTTTTAATATAAGGAGAGCTTCGTTGTATTTTCGACATAATGTGTGAATCTTTCTCTTTCGTTTATGACGATAACTGGTAACTACTTGTCGATTGTTGATTTGGCAGGTGTGCCACAAGGTCGTATTCATTGTTCAATGCAAGTTATCGAGTGTTCATAGTTGAAATCAAATGTTAAACACATTTATAAAAAGTTTAAACAGCAAAAGGAAAGAATCTTTTTTGAGGAAAAATCTTTTTTTACGTTAAAAGATACAGATTAAACATTAATTGCATGTAAATATGGAAACGAAAATAAGTTCTAGTTATGTTTCTTTAGATCTTGCATCGCTTTTCGAATATAAAATATAATTAAAGAAGAGATAAAAATAAATCGAGAAAAATAAGTAGAAAAGAAATGGACTAAAGCTTTCTTGTGTATGAGGCCTTATTTCCCAGCAAATCGATATGAATACATTACATTTAGATTCTAAAAAAAGTCGAATCATTAATATAAAAAAAAATTCATCTGAAATTAATTGGTAAGACTTGCAGAGAACATTAAAGGATTGAAAGAACAAAATGCTTTCGAATCGTTAAGTGCTTGTTATCTTCAATTTTTTGCAATTAAAGAAAAGGATTTGTATTTCAGTACAGAGCGTATAAAATTGTTCGATCGATCATTCTCTTTATCAGCATTCTCAAGAATCTACCGCTTCCTCATTCATCTCTTTTATCCTTTATACGCAAGAATCGTTTCTAAGGCAAAGATTCAAAAATTCTCTTACGCATATTACCGTTCATTCTTTTATAAAGAAGAGAATATCGATTGCGTTATCTGTAAATAATTAACCATTAGCTTATCATCACTGATCTATTTCATTATGTATATAAAATTATCATATTAGTATTAAATTATTATATTTATCATGTAATTATCATGTAATTGTATCATGTGTGTTCTCTAAAATATTTGAACCTCTTTGAAATTGTGTTATTTTTTTATTACAAAATATGACACACACACACACACACACACACACACACACACACACACACACACACACACACACACACACACACACACACACACACACACACACATATAGCTCCAAGAATGACGGTCCTCGATAACTTTATTATTAAGAAAATGGAGCGGTACAAGTCGTTTAATGCTGTCTTTTAAAACGCCGATAATTTCAATTTTTCTACACTCATAAAGGAGAGAACCAATGTTCTATTTTCTATTTTCTATTTTAAACGTACTTTCTTTTCGAATTAATTTTTATTTTAATCAATCACATTAATTAAATATATAACCTTATCTTAGCGTTACTATTTTTGTTAAGTTTCTTTACCTCTAACATTATAGAATATTGTTGTATAGAATATTGTCATACAGAATATTGTTAGACTGAATATTGTTAGACTTGTTAGATAGAATATTGTTATACATATTAAATATGTATATGTTTATGTATATGTTTCTTATATTATCATAGTCCATTCGCGCGCGTAACAATTAGATATGTACATCTTTTTCAAAATTACGCGTTTTATCCGCGTTATAAATCAAGACATTATTCCATTCCCATTTATATATGTGTCGCATTTCTCATAGGAGATGAATATTTCAGATTAATATGCCGCGGGCTCGATCAAGTCGACGGACAGATATCGACAGGAATTGTACGGGAATTCGACAAAGAGTTGACAGTTCTATTCGGCGATATTTTCATACAAACGACTGACGAAAGTAAATAACGATGGACAAAAAATGTTCCTATCTATTGTATCGATTTAAATCAATTTCACGTTTTAAATACACGCAAAATAGATATGTATAATGTTAAACATTATACATATACTGGTAATTAATATTATTGATAAGCTTTTTGCCTTTATTTTTTCTATCAAACTAGAGACGCGCATTATGCGTGCACTACATATTTTTTAAACAAGAAATGAGCAAAAAATAATATACTATTAACCTTTGGATACATTCAACACACACAACTGTCAAAATGATCTCCGTTATGAGAGCTATTCACGAAGTTAGTGTAACGAAGAATGATTGACATCGTCAATCAAAAAAGAGGCAAACATTGAAAGATGTTTTCTTTTAAAATGGAGCATCATATGCCTCAGAAAAATGTTTCTTATATAATTAAAACATCTTACGATTTGAGAAAAAACAATACAAAATGGATACATTTTTAAATAATCATCAAGATAATTACTGTCTCTACATTTTGTCTTTACCTTTTTATTTGAATGGAATTACTTTGAAAGTTTGAAAGATAATTATTCGTGTTTATATGAAAATCCTACCAAATAATCCGGCGTCGCACGCGCATCGATATTCGAAGGCGGAAATTAGCAAGGCTACTGATTTTAAATTAATGAAGAGAAAGAGAGAGAGAGAGAAGAAGAGGAATAAATTACTTTTTAAATCACTTTTAATTTGTTTCTTAATTAAAAATTTGTGTATCGAAATGCTATGTATTTTGTTAAATGATAATTGATTAAAATATATACATTTATACGCATTTAGTATATTTAAACAGCCATGTAAATTAAATATGTTATAATTAAATATGTTTAAATTTTTATATTTCTTTTTAATATATTCTATATAATAAATTATTTGAAAATATGAGAATGACAGAAAGTTAAATAGACAAATTAGATCTTATAATTTTTGTTTAATAGAGAGTAATATTTTAAAGACAATGACATATGGCTTGATATATGGTCCGCGCGCGCGCGCGTGTGTGTGTGTGTGTGTGTGTGTGTGTGTGTGTGTGTGTGTATATATATTATATAATTAATTATTAATTAATT